AAAGATAGGGCCCGAATATCGAACGCTTTCTCAACGAACAGAGGAAAAGCCGTAGCCTGCGGGAAGACCGAGTCCTCCCTTTAACCAATCTGATTTTGATGCGCGAAGAGTTGAGTTTACTGATCCTTCGCCGAGAAAAGACCTTAAAAGTTTATGAGCTGCAATCAGATCGCTCAGGTCGGAGATGAAACAGCCGTGTATCACGTATCGCAATGACTATTAGTGATCTCCCTCCCAAGCGCATTTCCCGAAGACATAAGAGGAGCAAGAATCTCGTACATATGATTACGAGGCCATACAAGGTCGCACGCCAAGAGGATAGTAAGGCTGGACCGGGACGGATGCTGCGTAAACGATACGAAGCCGAACCATTTCCACTAGATAACATGAACTGCAAAGATTACCATCAACGACCCTTAAAAGAAGTCGGAATCAGTCAGGGGATGGCTAGGACAACCACCCCCCCCCCCCCCCATTCCTCCACCTCCCCCCCCGAGCACGTGGTCCCAACCTGCACAGCCCAGAGCGCCCCTCCGTTCCCCCGACATGATCACCACGGGACTCGGAGGGCGCTGGCCCCAACCATCCCCATTGGCAACTCGTTTAACAACTTCATGGTACAACCGTTATTGTCAAGAACGGGCAGATCCTTGCCCGTTGGAGATAGATGATGCTGCGGGTGCTGCCACGGTGTGTCTTTCTTTATGAGGTTGCATCTGTTGTTGACTGTTGACCAGGTTCCCATCACACCGCACCAGTACCTGCTTGACAGCTGCAGGTCAGGGACACTTGTGAGTTCCGCGCCGTGGAATGATCGTCATCTGCGGCTCCCACCCCAGACCCAACTGGCCAAAACAGTAACCCCGGAACCATGAGGAGCCGCAGAGGGCGTTGCGCGATTGTCCCTGAGATCTGCACAATTGGAAGAGAGTTGTTAGCGTCGACATGGCCGAAGCTAATCATCACCAACTCTCGGCCTCCCCGAAGATTCGCCCGCAAGGTGGAGCGGGTTTGAAGGTCAAAGCCCACGATGCCGTTGAAAGCAAGCAATGCCGGGGTCTTGGCATGGGGTGCGTTAGTTGCGGGGAGCATCTGTTCACCATGAAAGGAAGGTGAGCCTTTGGTGCAAATGACCCTCGTCCGGCATCCCGAGTTCGACTCTGTGGTTTCCTGGGTTCGTGTGGGGCAGGTTTGTTGGCGCTGGGGTGACGGTGGAAAAGCGGTCCCCATCCCGGAGAATACTGCGGGGTGTTTTAGGAATTAATATATTGCCCCCTGGATCGAGAAACTCAGTTACGCCCAGGGAGACAGGGACTTCGATGCAGGTTTCGCCCCAAAGGCACCCTGAGGTTTGGCAGGCAATATACAATGCCATATTGGCCCCATGTGGTTGGGGGGAACGGCAGGTTTCTCTCTGCGCGCGGATTGGCAGATGCCAGTCTTGCTGATGTCGGAGCTGGGCAGTGGGGCAAAGGTAGAGCGGAGAGTTTTGGTCGGCAGCTGCCGATGGTTCCTTGTCGACCAATTGCTCGCGCCCGCAGAAGCTTCGCAAGTCGAAAAGCCACTGTTCGCTCGTCGCATCATTTCCTCTTCTAGGCTAGGTCGGGAAACAGTGCGCTCGCTGGAGTTTCATCGGGCGGGAACCCTGGTGCCGAACAATGATCGAAACCTTCTGGAAAGGTGACGGAACGCATATCCCTGCCAGATGGAAGACACGGAGGAACGGATGTGTACGCTTGCAGCTGAGCTGATGAACAAGGCTCATGGGGAACGCGATCGGCACACTAGAATCCTTTGGTGGCGGGGGGTTATGAGGCATGTTGTCACGGACCGGCGTCGGTCTCTCTTGTCCAGGCGTCGAAGCAACGCTCTGCTGTACAATCAAGGCAACACCACCACTGCGAGGGTGGTGATCTGTGGATGCCGATGAGCCTCCATTCTTGTTGATGTGCATGTTTGTCCAGAGCTACCAAAAGCTTATGTGATCCAAGTTGACTAACAAGCGAGAGGTCGGGGAGAGAGCCGCGGCAATTTCCACGCCCAGGTCAGCCCAAAGGCGGACGGGGTTTCGGGGCACGACTCCAGTTATGGGTCCTCGGTGACTGCGTTGATTGGTCATGTGTCCGTGGGCCATCAAGGGTTGTGCGTGGGACGGACAGGGAACCTAGCGAATCAGAGGCACACTGGCACCCTCAACGGGTGTGCTCGATCTTGCTTGCATGTGGAGTTTCGGACCGTCGGCCGTTGAGGGATCACGCTACGACGGCCAGGTGGCGGTAACCCCAGTTCCGCCAAGATGCCGAGAAGATCTGGTGGCGCCGAGATGGCTTCGCAGACAAAACGACGTCTGTCTTGTTCGACCCAAGCGATGATAGCTGAGCCGCCGATATCGTGTCTGAAACTGCTGGAAAGTCCCCCTCAGGATGACCGAGCCTTGAGCGGTGACAGTAGCTTGTCGACTGCCCGCACACCAAGCGGTGAGGCAAAGCCTAGGATATCCCAAGCTGGGGAGTGGGGGGTGTGGACCGGGACCCAGGCTGGATTCGTGTCACCCTGAGCGGCACTCGTGGAGGAGGGTTCCCGCGCCGTTTGTTCCGCCGGTACCAGCCATTCATGGTAGCCACAGTGCTCAGTGTGGCAGCAACTGCAACTTCCAGGAAGCCGGAGGTCCCCAATCACGACCGCAGACAATAGCAGCCCAGGAACCATGGAATTGGGTTGGAGGGAAGCGGAAGTTGGAGAGCTTATAGTTTGGCAAACAGAAACAGACCAACGAAAAAGGTTGTGGGGTACTCATTCGGGTTGGCGTTCCTCGGGCGGAAAGGAGTCCATGCTAGCGCTTGTTAGTAGGAAACGAGCCCGGAGTCGGAGGCTAGTCGGCTACATTGAGTCGCTTGTGAACTGGTCTCGCGGCGCTGCCGGTGGTTCTTAGCTCGCGGATTCGCCGCCCTTTGAGTGAGCTGGAAGAGTCGAGGTTGGTTCGATTGCAAAACAAGTCCCGATTGGAAAGCCGAGCTTGCATCGGAGGATAGCCACCGTGTTGACAGATGACACTGCATTGTGCTAGGCTGAGTTGCAGATGCAGCCGCACAGTATCATATCCCTGCGTGATTGGTTCAGGAAGTCGTATTTGTTTCAAGTCAGACCTCGTCAACTCTCAGCACTGAATAGGATGTAGGGCCAATTCTTCCGTTGTTCACCACCCTCTTCGCCGCTTTCTCGGCCGATATTTGACGACATAAGGCGCCTCGATATTGGCCTGCCGTGCGCGAACCAAACTAAAAGTCAAGCCACCGAGTACAAGCTTAAGGGGTTTGTAAATTGATTTGTACAGACCGATGTATTGGCGGTGGAAAGACTCGAGCTGAATTGAAGCCGCAGTCAGTCACCATGTCATGTGGTTCGCTCTGCCAGTCAACTGGATTTGCTGGTTGCTAATGCAATGGAGATTGCGGGGGCGAATCGCCGCCGGGATTTCCTCGTGACTGGACTGGGTCAGGCAGGTGCTCCTGCCCCTTCTGCCTTTGGGAACTAGCGGAAGTTCCGATGAACTGTTGTGGCTTGACGTGGTCAATCGGTCTGATCAAGTCGTGTTTTCCTTTCCCAAATAATACCTGCGTTATTGTGGTCTTTTGCAGCGCGTGACACTTGAAAGGCTGAATTGGAAAATTGGGGAAGCTGAGAGCGCCTTCCACGTTGACTCCGCAGTGTTGATGATGCAAAAAAAAATTCGATGCAAACCCCCCCACTACCCAAAGAGGGACCGGCTTGGCAGGAACCCACACACATCGTGCCCCTGCCGCCATCTGCCGCCCGCTCTCCGTCAACATGACCGGTTCTGAAATACTCGAAGCGACGAACTAGTTAGGTAGCCGGCAGCACTGCTCAAGACTTGAAGCACGCCGATAGGCCGGCAACAATGTTCGATCAGACAATGGAAGAATGTGGGACTGAAACCTCAACCCATCTCCTCCAAAGATCGCCCTCGAGCAGGCCTTTTTTGGGATAGTTGTCGACCACCCTGCCACCCCAACCCCCGAGGCACTCGGCAATGCTCCATGCTCCAACAAACATGGAGCTTCGCTTCGTGCTTCCGTCCCCAGACGCATCCCAGCAGGCACATGCACCACTCCAAAGGAATAACAGGCGTCTTATAGCACGGCGGATCGGAATGGTCGCGGCCATCTGCGTTGCGGGTTCCATCTGCCCAGAAACAGGAGACCAACGGCAAGCCGAAGCGACAGGGGGTCCGTCATGGTCGACATGGGCTACATGGGCTCGATGGGCTTGACATGGGCTCGACATGCACAACGGTGCAACTCCATCGCCTCGACTGCCCCAGCAATTGTCCCGATGCAGGAGTTGATGGGCGACTGAGGGATGCCCAGCTGATCCGGTTTGGCGCCGATGCCCCAACCCCAGCTTTCTGCGCTCCAGCGGTGACAAGCACCCCGCCGGTACCATGACTGATCCCATGGGGAGATGGGGTCCCCCTCTCCGCTGACGCTCCCTCTCGCTGTGAAGCCCACCCACCCCCTGGCTATCGACAAGGATGGCACAGTTCACGACCGCAAGCAACCGACGCGCCATGGCTTCTCCGCTGCTTCTGGCGCGCTCCATCGCCCGGCCCAATTTGTCAATGTTTCTAAGAGTGCGACTACATAGCATGCACCACGCAATGAAGCGCACCATTCAAAGTGGACCTCTCTTTTGGGGGCTCCAGAGCACATCAGCATCAGAAAGCGAGTTCCAGGGCAGACAAGCGTCATTAGTTATGTAGCGAGGTAGCGCTGTGCTGCATTCTGTCAGGGTTAGGCGCTTTGTTGATGCTAGGTAGGGGACTGGGGCTCTGGCAGTGCCACTACGAGAGCCGGTGGAGTTGCGGCTTCTCCACCATGACCATCGGCTGAACCCCTGCCAGAGGGGCAACCCTTGTCTGATGGTGGTGTTCGAAAGCTTGCTGGAGGGGACAAAAAGAGGCCCATATATCCTCAGCAGGCCCTTTCTGACAAGGCGGCTTCCCCAGAAATCCGCTGTCAACTCTCCCATCAGCGCTACCCGCCCCGCGTTCGCCCACCACGCTCCCCTCCCCCCATAAACGCCTCCCGTCCCGCCGACTTATATTGCCCTCGCAATATAAACTTGATACTCGATATTGTGCTGGACCAAAAACCGTCTCCCCCTGTCGCCAATCGCATCCAGTCTCATCCCCAAGCTTTCTCGCGCCTCTCCTGCTGTGCATGTCCGCCAAGCCGACCGCCAGGCTCGCAGAGAGTATCCCCCGAGGCAGGAACAGCGCCAGAAATTTACCGGTTCGTTCACTTGTTCGAAACGGGTATCCCTTGGCCCTTTTGGCGCTTCTCGCCCCCTCCGGCCCCTCTCGAGCAATATACGGCACATCGCTCTGAGGCTGAAGACCGAGGAACCAGCATCTCGCCGACGACAGGCAGCCCGGAACATCCAGGAAAACGTTTCTCAGGCTCTACGGTTTTAGGGGCTCGGAAAGGTGTTAAGAAACGGCCGACTCTGACCTCGTCTAACACCGCAGACGGGCAAGCCGTTTTCGCCTCTGATTTGTCTCCGGTATGTTCATGATTCCATCTTCCCTGCTCTCCACGTTCTGGGTGCTCGGCCAGGCTCGTTTCCCTCCCGTGTTCCCCTGCCGGTGGGTCCGTTGTCCATCCAGGCACGCCCCCCTCCCCTTTTTTTTCGCCCCCCCAGACCCCACCATCCGGTGCTGCAGCCATCGTGCAGCAGGCCGTGCCGCCCTCACTCACATCCGCGCGGATCGCCGCCCACTGTTTTGGTGTCCGTCAATGCTATCCCAGCAAAACTCATCAATGCTCATGCCTGTCACTGACCTTACCCCAGAAGGAAGCTCACTTCGGTCCGTCCGACTGCCGTTCTCCAATCCTGGACCCGGCAACTCACCAACGGAGCGGGTCGATTATAGATATCCCCCACCTCCCCATCATCGCCGTCGACGGGCTCTCACCTGTCGTCCCCGCTCTTCGAACCAGACGTACCATCGCTTCAACCAACTGCCCGCACTCGCTCGAAGCCGGCCGTCTCCATATGTTCTAATTCACGGTCTTGACGACCTTGCTAGTAGCTAATTATACACCGCCACCCTTCCTTCACGACCACATCCACCTCGAGTCAAGATGTTGTCAAACCCACTCCACCGTTTCTCACCCTACCACATTCCGTCGAACACGCTGATGTCCAACGGGCATGTTCCGGCTGGCCACCTTCACGCGGCCGGGCTCGACTCGCTCGCTCCCGGTTCCCACTACGCGCTCCAACAGCTCCAACAACACGTCAGCGTTCATAACCCGCACCTCGCCCGGGCTGGGCCTCAACCAAAGCACAGGCAACATCCATATGGGCCCGCTTTTATAGTTGCCTGGGCAGCGGGACCGATTACGGAGGAGGATCAGCATGTCTTTGTGATCAGTGCAACCCAACTAAGGACGAAAAGGGACGTCTATCATCTCTGTTCTCTATTTCATTGGTGAGACCAGATCTCGTCCTCCGAAGCGTCGCACCTCTAACGTTCAGCAGAGTTTCAATGGGCTGCGAGTACATCGCGAACGCAAGAAGCGCGGCAAGGCATCTCGAAAAGACCTAGCGCAACAAGCCGCCGCCCAAGCCGCTGCCGCCGCCGGCCCAGAATGGCCAAAAGTCTGAGAACACGGCAAGCGAGAATGGCCAGTCTACGGAGAGCCGGAGCGACACACCAAGCAGCACCAAGCCAATCTTGACGTTGAACACAGATCAGCCAGCAGCCTCAGACAAGAGTATGACCGACATGTCGGAGGAGCAGCTCAGGGGACAAAGGACAGGAAGTATTGAGACCTTGGGTGATATGAGCGCCCATCCGGGACACATGACGAGCCATCCCAGCGCTCTTGACAGAGATCACCTCGACAGCCCGACAGCATTGGACCTCAACGGATACGGATCCGTGCATCCATCATACGAACGCCAGATGAGCGCGCACATGATGGGCGGTCCGCCACACGGGCCCTACGGTCACGGCCCCAATCAGGGCAACATGTCCAACTATCCCGATCTGCCGTATGCTCTCCAGACACAGAGCCCGACCGGCTACTCGGCCAATCCCGCCAATGGCTTCCGCCTCGCAAACAGCCCCCTCAGTGCTTATCCGATGGGTGGAGAGGCCGCATCCCCCGGTGGATGGATGAACATGTCATCTCCGCCGCCCCAGTTCGCTTCGCATGTCCCGCAAAACGGCTACAACCACTCGCACCTCCGCTATCCCGTGTTGGAACCCCTGATTCCCCACCTCGGCAACATCATCCCCCTTCCTCTTGCATGCGATCTCATTGACCTCTATTTCGCAAGCTCATCCTCAGCCCAAATGCACCCAATGTCCCCCTACGTTCTGGGATTCGTCTTCCGAAAGCGGTCTTTCCTACACCAGAGCAAGCCCCGACAGTGCCAACCGGCGCTCCTGGCAAGCATGCTGTGGGTTGCTGCACAGACAAGCGATGCCCCCTTCCTGACCAGCGTCCCCTCGGCGCGTGGCAAAATCTGCCAAAAGCTTCTAGAACTGACCGTCAGCCTCCTCAAGCCGCTAATCCACACGCCCTCAGAAGAGGCGTCGCCCGTTTCGAGCCCCATCGTGGATGGCGTTGCTCTGGGCGGTCTTGGCGTCGCTCTCCCCGGGTCCATCAGCATGGAAGCCCTCACCAGCGAATCCGGCGCTTTCGGCGCGGCCGGTACTCTTGACGACGTGATCACCTATATTCACTTGGCGACGGTCGTGTCGGCTAGTGAGTACAAGGGAGCGAGTCTGCGATGGTGGAACGCCGCATGGTCGCTCGCCCGCGAGCTCAAGCTGGGCCGCGAACTGCCTCAGAACGCACCAGCCAGCCGCCAAGGCGGGTCGGCAGACATCGACGACGAAAACAACGGCTCGGAGATGGGCATCCCCGGTGTCATCACCGAGGAAGAACGGGAGGAGAGGCGGCGTATTTGGTGGCTGGTCTACATTGTTGACCGCCATCTTGCGCTCTGCTACAATCGCCCGCTGTTCCTACTCGACATCGAATGCGAGGGCCTCTTCCAACCCATGGACGACACCGACTACCAGAACGGCAACTTCCACGCCTACACGGACCCGAATGTCCTCGCCTCAGACCCTGAGGCGGGTCAAAACCGGGCGCGTGGGCCTTCGTTCGTGTGCACCGGACACAGCATCTTCGGCTATTTCCTGCCTCTGATGACTATTCTTGGCGAGATAGTGGACCTCAATCACGCGAGGAACCACCCCCGCTTCGGCGTTGGGTTCCGCTCTTCTCGTGAGTGGGATGACCAGACGTCCGAAATCACCCTGCCACTTGGACATGTACGAGCAGAGCTTGAAAAAGTTTGAACAACGCCACCTCAGCCTCAACGCGCAAGCGCAGGCCGCCGACGAGAAGGCTGCCGAGGCAGCGGGCGTTCCGACAGCAAACGACCTACCCGGCACACCGTCAGGGCACAGCGTCCACAGCGCGCACACCAGCTCGAGCCGTATGACCGAGAGCGACATCCAGACGCGCATCGTTATGGCGTACGGCACGCACGTCATGCACGTGCTGCACATCCTCCTCACGGGCAAATGGGACCCCATCAATCTCCTCGACGACAACGACCTCTGGATCAGCAGCCAGGGCTTCATCACAGCGACGGGCCACGCCGTCAGTGCCGCCGAGGCCATCAGCAACATCCTCGAGTATGACCCGGGCCTCGAGTTCATGCCCTTCTTCTTCGGCATCTACCTGCTCCAGGGCTCGTTCCTGCTGCTCCTCATCGCCGACAAGCTGCAGCTCGAGGCCTCGCCCAGCGTGGTCAAGGCCTGCGAGACCATCATCCGCGCTCACGAGGGCGTGTGTGGTCACGCTCAACACCGAGTATCAGGGTAGGGTTCCCCCTCTCTTTTCCTCAAGATTGCATTTAAATGAGATGCTAAACGCCCCGCCACAGCGTAACTTTAGTAGAGTCATGCGCAGCGCTCTCGCACAAGTGCGGGGCCGCGTCCCTGAGGACCTCGGCGAGCAGCACCAGCGCCGGAGGGAGCTCCTGGCGCTGTACCGGTGGACGGGCGATGGAACTGGCCTGGCACTTTGAAGTGGCTGGTTATGTTTCACCCCTCTTGTTCTTCCTGGTGTGAATATCTTTTCATCTAGGCTCGATTTCCTACCCCCCCTCCCTTTTTTCCTTTTTCCTTTACCGTATACGGCGGGTCAGCTGGTCGGTGTCTCAACCTTACTTTCCTTCGGCTGGTTTTGCTTTTTTCTGGTTGGCGTTCAAAGGCCTTATCTTTTACTCAAGGGAGGGTGTTCACACAAAGGTTTCCAAAACCGAAGGTACAGGGGCTGGTTCTAGCGGATAGGGTATCCGGACAGGCGGTTTTGGAGATTCCTTATTACGGGAGAGAGTTTAGGCGGGATGAGCGGAACATGCAGAAGACAAAAAATGACTGACATCCAGAAGACATCGTAACGACGAACCAGACAGCACTGAGGCCCATCCATGACAGTTGTTTGAGGGATCTGTATATACAACAGATGAGCATAGAGAATGAGATTACAGAGCAAGATTGAAATATAACAAAAACATAAGTATTAAAAATACCAGAGAATCAAGTTCCATA